CTGGGCGGGACACAGTGGCAATCAACCAATGAGTGCAGGAGTGGGTAGAGCAACAAACTGATGTTTCCCTTTCTCTCAAACCAGTGAGAGGAAAGGGGAGAAAAAGGGGAGGGGGAGCACTGACTGTTAGAGTGGGAGAAAAATTTGCAAGTCATAAATATGATAAGGGATGTGTATTCTAGAATATATAAAGATGTCTCAGATCGCAACAGTAATTTTTTTCAAATAATGCAGTTAAAAATGGGCAGAATATTGATTTGAATAGATATTTCCCCAAAGATACAGATGGGCCAAAAAGCACATGAAAAATGTTGAACATCATTAGCCCTGAGAGAAATCAAAATCAAAATCACAATGAGATACAATTTCAAACCCACTAAAATGGCTATAATCAAAATGACAGATAACTTGTGATGGTGAGGATGTAGAGAAGTCATAACCCTCATAACACTGCTGGTGAAAATGTAAAATGCTACAGCTGCTTTGGAAAAAAGTCTGGCAGGTCCTCAAATGACTAGCAATTCTATTCCTAGGTACATATCCAAGAGAAATGAAAACATATATCCACACAAAAACTTATACATGTATAACACCAAGAGGGAGCCCTAATGTAATCTATGGACTTTAAGTGATTATGACGTGTCAATGAAAGTTCATCAGTTGAGACAAGTGGACCCCTCTGGTAGGGTTTGGTTGGCAACGGGGGAGACTATGCAATACGTGGGGGCAGAAGCTATAAGGGAAATCTCTGTACCTTCCTCTCAATTTTCCTGTGAATCTAAAGTTGCTCTAAAAAGAGTTTAAAAAAACTTGTACATGAATATTCATAACAGGATTCATAACAGTCAAAGAGTGAAAACAATCCAAGTGTCCATTAACTGATGAATGGATAAATAAAATATATATATATTTTTATATATATATCTCTCTATATAGAGATATATATATCTATATCCAGGGAATATTATTTAGCAACAAAGAAAAAATAAAATACTAGTACATTCTACAACATAAATGAACCTTGAAAACGTTATGCTGAGGGGGAAAAAAACAAATCACAAAGACCAAATATTATATGATTCCATTTATATGAAATGCCCAGAATAGGCCTATCTATATAGAAACAGAATATAGTTTAGTGGTTGCCTAGGACTTTGAGCTGTGGAGGTTGGGGAAAAATAGGAAGTGACTGCTAAAAAGTACAGGGTTTCCTTAGGGGCTAATGGAAATGTTCTGAAATTCATTGTGGTACTGGTTGAAAGACTCTGTGAGTATACAAATCAATATTGAGTTGTACACTTTATACAGGTGAAGTGACAGATTGCTCCTATGTTAAAAGACTAGTGCCTAGTGTGATCCCAGGCTCTTGTTTGGCATCCCAAAGCTGAGGAGGGGCCAACACAGGCACCAAGGCTCTCCCCAGAACTCTTTCTCCCTTCCCACTACCTCAAATCATAGAAGGTGTGAATGGAAGAGACTGACTCCTATTTCCCTCCCATTTTACAGAATAGAAAACTGAGGTCCAGATAGGGAAAGTGATTTACCTCTGTGTCACTAAGACTCAGTTACCATAGAGGCTAAATTCCCTTTTAAAATCAAAGTCATAATGAATATGGGAAATTGTACAGGGGGAAAGACTCATATATAACATTTGAAAGCCAGTTGAACTCTTCAGGGTGTACTCCAGCTCTCATTTTTTCCCTTCATTCACTAGGACAATTAAAATGTGGTTTTGGTAAAAACGAAAAACTCTACTGAGTACACCTCTTCTCTCTCAGTATACCCCTCTCTCCCTCTCCCTCACTCTCCCTCTCTCTCTCTCTGCTTTCTCCTCTCTCCTTTTCCTACATCCCCAAGTCACCCCCACCCCCATCACAATGATGTTCAGATCCTGTGATTGGGCAAAAATCGGACCAATTAGCTTTGGGAATAGAAGTGTCTACAGAAGGGTGATTCACAGTACATCAATTTGCTAATTGCTCTCCCTATCACAGACAGAAGGAAGGAAAGAGGAAAACAGATATATGTTTCCTTCCTTAGAGAATCTGATTCAAATGTGTGGGCTGGACACAGCACCAGGCCACCCTCACAAGGCCCTACCCCTGTGTAGTTCCAGTCCCAGGTATTCTCCCTGGGGAAAATCCCTTCTGCTTTCTGGACCCCAGTTTTCCCATCTATAAAGTGCAAAAAGAATGAACAAAATGATTGTCAAAAGACCTCCCAGCTTGAGACCTCAGGGTTCCAGGAATGTGTGGCTTAGCACCTTCTTGGCTGCCCTGACTGTCCAGAAACAAGCCTGGGGAGATAGAGCAGAAGTGGATGCAGCAGATTCAGTGGAAATGTCACCTCATTAAGGAGGCCTTCCATGATTACATCATCTAATGATGTAATTGATGTCTCCAATTCTCTTTCTCACTCACTATATCTCTTTTGCACACTCACATACACACATGGTTGCTCCCTCTCCCATATCCTGTTTCATTTTCTTCTTAGCACTATCTGAAATGTCTTATATATTTGTTTACTTGACTATTGTCTTTCTACACTACAATGTTAGTTCTCAAGTGCAGGAATCTTGCCTCTCATATCTCTGGGCCTAGCCCAGCATCTGGTATACAGTAAGTGCTTAGTGTTGCTTAGTATATATATGTGTGTGTTGTCTGATGTATGAATGAATAAATAAATGAAATAATGAATGAGTGAATGGGTCTGTTGGTGGTACCAGAGCTGCGCCAAGCATGGCTGTGATCTGTACCAATTCTTCCATGAAGAGCAGCTGAAAAACAGGGCTCTGGAGTCAGGAGACCTGGATTTGAGTCCCACACTGCCAATTAATGCTTGCATCACCTTAGGAATTTCACTTGACCTCTCTAAACCTTGGTTTCTTCATCTGTAAATTGAGGATAATGATCCCACATCTCAAGATGTATTTTTAGGAATTAGAGGTGGTACATATAAAGTGATCTGGTACATAGCAGGTATTCAGTAAATGTTAGGTTCCTTTCTCTTCCTTCCTCTCCTGAGGCATAGAGGTGGTAGGTCAAGGGTTTGAAGATTCTGTACTCAGCCAAGAGGTTGCTTATCTATTTCTTATCTTTCAAGAGAAGGTAAAACAAAATTGCAAGCAACTTAGCTGAGGACAATGCAAGGGACTTGGCCAAAGTCACACAGCCAAGCAGTGAAGTAAGCAGCAGGTCTTACCAGAGGAAGCCTCCCATCCCAGACAAGATGGAGGGAGGGGACAGGGCAGGATCTTGCTTGTGCTGGCCCTCCAGAAAGAGGAAATGGCTGCTCTAGTCTGAGAGCCAGCCTCCAGGACTCTAGTCCTTGGTTTGTCAGAGGCAAGCTGGTGACTCTGGAATATTGTTTACCCTTTCCAGGTCTTGATTTCTCTTTTGGTACATTGGGCATATTACTCCTTGCCCAGCCTGCCTTACAGAATGGAAGTGTCAGGAGAATGATATTTAATTTGATATATTTTTAGGAGCATGATATTTTACCTAAGAGAAAATATTGTAGTGATGAATCAGACAGACTCAATTTCTAAAATTTTGCCACAAGAACATATATTTAAATTCACACACACAAAAAGATTAAAAGTAATAATAAGCTGCATCTCTCTGGGCTCTGTAAAATGGGAAACAAAAACTTGTAAACATATTATTTCAGTAGAACGTATGAAAAACCTTTGACCATCTATAAGTAAATCAAATCAAATTTTTAAAAAACATTTACTGAGCATCTTCTTTGGGACGGATGAGGAAATTGACTCAGAGGGTTTTAGTGACTTGCCTAACGGCACACAGGACCTGCAAAGGCTAAGAAAAGGCTGTCATGAAAGATTTCCACCAGCAACCCAGGAAGCACCTGACAGACAGGGCTGCAGAAGGGCCTGAGATGCTGGATCAGGAAGACCAAGCCCCCCAGTTCCAGTTTCCCTCTATCCTCCAGTCCCATAAAGGCCCAGGGTCTGTCCAAGTGTAGTGGAATGAGCATGCGGCCACAGATTCTATGGTCCAGAGTCAGCACCAGGGCCGACCTTAGGGGAGTCATGCACATCCCCTCTCAGCACAGGTTTCCCCTCCTCTGAACATGAACCTCAAGGCTGGCCAGGCTGTGGCTGTCAAGGGCCAATCAAGAGAGTATGTTAAAAAGTCTCTACCGCGGTATGCTCTGAGTTTGTTACCTTTCTTTACGTCTGGAAGACTGCGGGAAAGCAGGAGGAGCACTGTGTGGAGTTGAACAAGTGCACAATCTCTCTGGGCTTCTGAAAACAGTGAATGACTAGGACCAGGCCAGGTGATTTCTTACAGGTCCCCAGTAAGGGGCACAGGAGAAGCCACCACACATTGATGTTTCTCACCCTCCCTTCCCCTCTTTCGAAAAATAAATAAAAATTTAAAACAACAACAACAAAAGTGGGTGACTAGGACCAGGCCAGGTGATTTCTAAATTCCTTCCAGCGCCAAAAACAAACAAACAAAATAAACCCTGAAATTTCTTGGTGGTTCGATTCCGCCACAAACTCCACAAGTCACTCCCCTCCCGCCTGCCCCTATAGAGAGCAATCCCTTTAAGCCCAGGGCCTGCTCCGCCTGGGCCAATCACCGTCAACAAAAGTTCTTTAAGGCCCAAAGGAGGGAATTCAGTCGACAAGGGAGGCGGGGCAGGAGCGTGTCTCTCAGCCAATCAGAACTTCCCTAGCTCTGCTGCCCAATGGCAGGGTCGTAGAGAGGCGGGGCGGCTCCAGCTGTATGACAGCTGCCGGTACCAATGGGCAGGCCGCCCGCGGCCTATAAAAGTCCGCTGGCCTTGAAGTGACAAACTTTAAGGTCGGTAGGTCGTCGCCGCGGTAGGTGTGCCCTGGGATTGCCTCGCCATCGCTGCCGTCCAGTCCTTGCAGCCGCGCACCCCGCCTTGGCTCCGGCCCAGCCGCTCTCCCTTCCCTCCTCCTCTTAACCACCCCCGGTTTCTGCTGTCGGGGCCCCGGGACCGGGTTAATGATGCCGTCGGAGAGCGGAGCTGAGAGCCGGGACCCGGCGGCTGCGCAGGCTGGGGCGGCTGCGGCCTCGGCGGTGGCCATGGCCTCCCAGGCAGGCGGCGGCCCCGACCCGGAAGCCTCTTCGGCTTCCCTCGGACGGCACCTGAGTGGGCTGGGCTGGCCACAGGTGAAGCGGCTGGACGCGCTCCTGAGCCAGCCGATTCCCATTCACGGGCGCGGCAACTTCCCCACGTTGAGCGTGCAGCCCCGGCAGATCGTGCAGGTGAGAGGGCGCTGGGTGGGGGATCTGGGGTCTCTATCCTGAGTCTCTCGTGGCTGGAAGGACCCTGGACTCTGTTCCATTGGCTGGGCAGCTAGGGAAAATCAGATTCAGAGCGACAGAGGCTACAACAAAATCGCACAGCGTTAATGGTAGACCGCATCCCCTTACCCCTGCACCTCAGAGTTCCTCCCCTCTTGGTTTTCCCTTCCCCCGCCCCTGGGGAGCCCCGATTCCCCTCGGAATTCACCCAGGCTCTGGCTTGGGGAGGCGAACAGAATGAGGAGAGACTCGGCAGCTGGGAAAGAACAGTCTGCAAGGACAAAAATGCCAAGCAGCTCTGGGTGGGTAGGTGTGCCTTCTTGGGTCCAACATAGCTCTTTTCATCTCCAAATCGTCATTCCTGGGCCTCACTCCCACTCCTTCCCTCGCTCAAGGTTCTGGGGGCAGACTCTGCCCTGTGCTCCCACAGCCCTTGGATCAAGAGCCCCTTTGCTATGTGGAAGAGCCTAGAGGTCCTGACAAAGACCCCCTCTTAGATGGGGTTGTGACCAGAGGAGATCAAGCAACCAGGTCAGACCTGATGCCTGCATGCTGGAAGGCAACCTCAGGTGTCCAGGTTAGGTGTGTCTTCTCCTCCCCAAGTTGGAACTGAAGGTCAGCCCAGGTCACGAGCCCCACTTCTGTCCTGAGGAGCAGGAGAAGAAAATTCTGGCAACCCCTCTCCTCTTGCCCAGATTCCCTCTTCCCTTTACCTGACCTTCAGCAATCCTAAAGTTGCTCTTTCATCGGTATAGCCCAGGCACTGTCACGCTCTGTAATACTAGAATATGGTCATTGTTGTACCCATTTTATAGCTGGGTAAGGTAAGGCCCTAAAAGGGGAAGTGAGCTGCCTAAGACTACCTGCAGAAGTGAAAATCAAATGCAGAGATCCTTGGATATTCCCAGAAGCCACTGTTCAAGTGTTTCCACCCCTTCCCCAGCTCCCAGTATTCAACTTCTAAGTCTTATGAGACATCTTCTGATAGAAGAAACCAGAAATCAGCCAAAATTCCTGCACATTCCTGCCAGAGATGGACTTTCTGGAGCCACAGCTGACAAGCTAGGTGAAACCTTAGCTTCCACAGAAGGGGGGAGGGGTGCTCACTGGGGGATTTACCTTGCCCTCCCTCCCAAGGAATGGGAGGGGGTGGGGGCAGATTCTCCAGGGCTGACTCACCCACAGCCCAGTGGCACCTCACAGAGGCATTCCTCCGCTGCCACTGTCATGGAGTAATTAGGAAACCAGTTGAGGTTTTTCTCCCCAGGACAGTCAGGTCAACTTTGGGACCCCAACTGCTGTACCTCCAGGACTGTTGTCCCAGGCGTGGGGGAGGGAGTGGAGGAGCCCATTGTGGCAGCTCGCCCCTGCAAGAACAAGGGGTGCTCTGGAGAAGAAATACCTGCCCTTATCAATATGATCCAAACTGCCTTTACTAGTGCTGCTCTGTGCCAAGCCCTCTTTATAGTATGACTGGTACCCAGCCTTTCTGCTTTCCAGGTCCTCCCAGCCAGGTGGGGGAGACTGCAGGCCAATAGGAGCTGACTTTACAATGCAACGATAGTACAACCTCCTCCTCGACAAGGGTCAGAAACATCACAGAACAGGGAGCTGCCTGCTGTGGTGGGCAGGGGCAGCAGAGACTTCAGAGCTGGACTAGAGAGGTTGGACATCTGACTTTAGGACCTGTACTGTTGTCTGTTCCCTCTGCTGGGCCCCGTCTGTTTGATGGGGTTGGGTTAGACTGTTTTCCAACACCCTTTCTGGTTCTAGAATCCAAAAGGAACAGGTGCCTTCACCTGGCCTGTACAATTGCATCTGCAAGGGAGAAAGTCCATCTCCTGGCCGGAATCTTCAGCTGGCAGCTTCACAAGCTGGTGGGAATTTTGTGGTAGGGGCGCTGGGGGTACGTGGCATAGGCATTGGTTGTTGACTTTGAGCTTCTCCCCAGTGCTGAGTTGCCCCACAGTTCAAGAATTGGAATCTTTCTCCCTCTTTTCCCCACAAAGGTTTTACCTACAGCAGCAATTTAAGCACCTCGAGATGCTGTTCTTGCCTGTACCTGGGCTGGGGGGGCCCACTCTTTTGCAGGAAGCCGCCTGCCTTCTGGGAGGCCCGGTTCTAATTAAGCTCAGCCATATATTGGCTGTGTGACCTTGAATAAGTCCTTTGCCCAAGATCACAATCTTATCTCTCCACCTGCAGCCAGAGGGCTTGCTTTAGGTGGGTTTGAGGTTTTATTAGCCTGCTGTCTGGCGGCACCTACAGTTCCCTGCAGGTCTCAGCAGTGGCCTGGGAGCAGGAGTGGTTCTAGAGGAGGCCTTGCGCAGGAGAAAGGAGGGTGCAGCCACTGCCCCCTCCATGGCTGGCAAGTCTGATTCAGGAGACTCCAAGCTGCCCTGCAGTCTTTGGGTGTGGCAGTATCTGGGGACTGTCTGCCAAGCTGGCTGTAGTCACACCTGGGAAAGAGACAACAGCCTCTGTCTGGCTGACATAGCCAGCCCCGTGGCCTGACGCAGGCAATTTAACGAGGGTACTGCTACCTACTCACTAGGCCAGATGCCATGCCCTGGGGTGGGCATCAGCCTGGGAGCAGGAGTTGGCACTGAGTAAGGCTTAGTCAGCTCTAATGGTACTTGGGGAGGGGGCTGGTCTGCTCTGCAGGATGACAATTTCTTTGGCCCATTTCTCTCCTAGCTGCCAGGGTGCAGGTTAGAAGTCCCACAGGCTGGACTGCATCCACTCGCCCCTTACATCCAGCCTCCCCTCTCTGCCTAGCCAAGTCATTCCCCAACTCCCACCTTCCTGCTCCCCAACAACTCTGGCTCTGGGCTTCAGTGACTGGAAGCTTTGGCCTCACTCTGAAACTTTGAGGGAGGGAGGATGACCCTTAGGTTCTGGTCTTTGCTCCCTCTCAACCCTGGAATGGTAACATGGTAGAAAGAGGATTGACTTTGGAGTCAGTCATGCCTAAATTTGAAGGCACCTCTGCATGATCTTGGGCATGTGACTTTGCTCCTGGGAGCCTCAGTGTCCCCATCCAAAACTTGGAGATCATAAAGATCTATCCCCTATAAACTGGTGAGAAGGTCCAGTGCCTGGCACCCAATAGGTGCCTAACAAATATTCTACTTCCCCTCCCCCAGACAACCCCCTGCCCCCTGCAAGATTCGAATGGCCAGTTACCCCCAGCCACCCCCCTCACCCCTGCAAGATTCTGATGGCCAGTTACTCACCCCTCATAGCCATGACAATACCTTCCCGAAAGTCAAGGTCCTCCTCCCGGAAGCCTTTGTGGAGGGAGCCGCCCGCCTCAGATTGCCCCACTGCAGCTTGCCTTCTCAGCACTTGGGTGCATTCTTTGCAGTAATTCCCTGGGAGGTGAGGAAGGCATCCCCTCCACAGGTGCGCTGACTTGGCAGCAAGAGTTGCAGAATCACTCAGGGTAGGAATGCTGCCTGGTCACTTTCAGGGCAGTGTGTAAAGTTCTCTGGGTTGTGGAGAAAGCTGAGTGTTCAGCTCAGCTTCCCTCTTCTCCCCAAGTGATCCTAGGCCTGGGAAGACACCTCTGGTTAGAGGAACAGGTTCAAGAAGACTTGTAGGTTTACCTGTCATATGTTCCTGTGTCAGCAGGTGCGATCTGCTACATCTCTTCCCCCTTGGTGTGGAAAGCTTCCTGGGATCTTGACCCATCCCTTCTCCCAAGAGTGGAAACGGTCTGGGTCTGGGTTTTAACTTCCAGCCCTACAATTTCTGAATAGCTTCCTTTCTGAGCTATAGATATTTCACCACTATAAAGCCTCAGTTTCCTCATCTGTATAAGAATATAATATGTGCCTCATTGTGTCCTTGTAAAGATGAATTAAGATGATTATCTCAGAGTTAAAAGAGCATGCCTGGACTTGGCAATCCAAGTGACCTGAGTTCTAGTCTCAGCTCAGTCACTTGCTCACCATGGATGTGTTTACCCTCTGTGTGCCTCAGATCCCCCATCTATAAATTGGGGTAGTAATACTCAAACATAGCATTATTATGAGGAAAAATGTAATATTGTGTATGAACTGACAATTATGTCCCCAACACATTTGAGGAGTTAGCATCATGCCTGACCCAAAGCTAAGTATTTTACTTGCAGTTTTAGAGATGTAGAATAGCATAGTGGTTAAGGCGTGGACTCTGTCTGAGTTTAATTCCCAGCTCTGCATTCACCAGCTGGGTGACCATGGGCAAGTTACTTGACCCCTCTGTGCTCCCATTGGCCCATATGTAAAGTGCGGATAATAAAACTCACAGGGTTATTGTGAGAATTATGTGAATTTATATCCTAATGTATAAAGTGCTTAGATCAGTACCTGGCTTTTAGTAAATTCTATGCTTGTGTTTGTTATCATTATTGCTCTGCTTTCAGAGGCTTTGCTCCAACAGGCCACTCTCTAGCTTAGGAAATCGAGGCTTAGAGGGTTAAATGTCCTTCCAAAGGCACGACAGCTGATAAGTGGTCAACAGTGGTTGATGTTATTGTCACTATTACATGGAAGGCCATAGTAAACCTTGGGGACCCAGGCTCCTGACACCTCTCTTTCCTGCCGTCCCCTCCTCAGGTTGTCCGCAGCAGCCTGGAGGCACAGGGACTGCGCGTGCATAGCGTGCGGCTGCACGGCTCGGCTGCCAGCCATGTGCTGCACCCCGAGAATGGCCTGGGCTATAAGGACCTGGACCTAGTGTTCCGCGTGGACCTGCGCAGCGAGGCCTCCTTCCAGCTAACCAAGGAGGTGGTACTGGCCTGCCTGCTGGACTTCCTGCCCTCTGGTGTGAGCCGGGCCAAGATCACGCCACTCACACTCAAGGAGGCATACGTGCAGAAGCTGGTGAAAGTGTGCACAGATGCGGACCGCTGGAGCCTCATCTCTCTGTCCAACAAGAGTGGCAAGAACGTGGAGCTCAAATTTGTGGACTCAGTCAGGCGCCAGTTCGAGTTCAGCGTAGACTCCTTCCAGATCATCCTGGACTCCCTGCTGCTCTTTGGCCAGTGCTCATCCACGCCTATGTCTGAGACCTTCCATCCAACTGTGACAGGCGAGAGCCTGTACGGGGACTTCAACGAAGCCCTGGAGCACCTGCGGCACAGAGTCATCGCCACACGCAACCCCGAAGAGATCCGCGGCGGTGGCCTCCTCAAGTACTGCCACCTCCTGGTACGTGGCTTCCGACCACAGCCCAGCACCGATGTGCGTGCCCTGCAACGCTACATGTGCTCCCGCTTCTTCATCGACTTCCCGGACCTGGTGGAGCAGCAGCGCATGCTGGAGCGCTACCTGGAGGCCCACTTCAGCGGGGCCGACTCAGCCCGCCGCTATGCCTGCCTGGTGACATTGCACCAGGTGGTCAATGAGAGCACTGTGTGCCTCATGAACCATGAGCGCCGCCAGACGCTGGACCTCATCGCCACCATGGCGCTCCAGGCGCTGGCTGAGCAGGGCCCAGCTGCTGCTGCTGCCCTGGCCTGGCGCCCTCCAGGCCCCGATGGGGCTGTGCCCGCCACTGTCAACTACTATGTGACCCCTGTGCAGCCTCTGCTGGCCCGGGCCCACTCCTGCTATCCCACCTGGCTGCCATGTAACTGACTCAGACCCTGGCCAGGAGCGACTGGGCCTCCCCAGATGGAGTGGGGCCTCCAGGAGTGTGTGGAGGGTGCGTGGGGCGTGGTAGCTTCAGTGTTCATCATCTTGAATTGATTTCTATGGGCTAGAAAGGGCCTTTTTGGCTATGGCCAGCCTTCAGTGAGCCAGCAGCCTCCAAGGGCCTGCTGCCCACACAATGACTAAAATATGGTGCATTATGGGAACTAGTCACTTTGGGTCAGGCTGGGCCACTCACAGGGCCTGGTGGTCGAACCTGGCTAATCAATGCGGGGAGGGAAGGTGAGGCATGAGGCAGATCCACGGAGAGGGATATGTTTGGCCCAGTCCCCTAACACTCCTATCCTCAGCTGTCAAGGTGTGAGGTGAGCAGGCACCAAGTGGCCTGGGGTGGTACACACGCCATGACCTTTCTAGGGTGTTGCTTCCTTCCCCAATGTCATGAGGAATACTCCTGCCTGGGAGCTTGTTCTAGGAGGGGCCTAAAGTGGCCACAGTCAAGTGTTCCCACCCCACTGGCCTGGTTACAGGGTCCTCACTTAGGGGGGGAGAGCCACACCCCGCCTCCTGTTACTGTTTTGCACTCTTAACACTTGTCAATAAAAATTGTCTACACTGAGCTGAGCACCATGCTTTCTCCTGGGAGAAGGATCTTCTATGACATGGGGGCTGTTGCTGCCTCCCCCAGCCTGAGTCTGGCTTATATTGTGGGAGGGGACAATGAGGGGTGGGTGTCTGAGTCCTGGGTTGTGGCTGGGGAAATACCCCTTCTTCCCTCAGCACCAATCCCAGCTGATAGCTGTGCTAAAGCTCATGTCTATGCACATGACTTGCGCCTGCACGTTGTCTCAGCAAGTCTCTTGTTCAGGAGTAAACATTTCAGCTCTGATCAGTGTTACTCGGTTGGGCATTGTCCTGCAAAGTGAGAGGTCGGTCACCAGTTCGATTCCAGGTCAGGGCGCATGCCTAAGTTGTAGGTTTGGTCCCAGGTTGGGGTGTATGTGAGAAGCAACCGATCAGTGTTTCTCTTTCTCTCTCCCTTGCCATCTCTCTCTAAAAAAAAATAAATAAACATTTCATTGTTTCCACCCTAGAGTCCTAGTGACCCTGGACCTGGCCTCGCGCTGTGGTGCTCAGGGCTGCTTGACTCCGTCTCTGCCCACCCTACCCATCCCTTCCCAGGAAGCAGGTGGAGAACAAGCTGGGCGAATCCAGAGTGGAGATTCCCCCAGTAGTGGCAGCTAAGACTGGGAGATTTCTAGGGTCCCCCAGGGCCAGAGCCCAGTTTTGGGCTCCCTATCTGGGAGAGATTCCCTCAATCCTCTGGCTCACTCCTAAATGCCAATGAGCACATTCCAACTGTTCTAAGCAGGTCTCTTCTTTCCAAACCCACCTGGGGCCATATCAGGTTGTCTCGGACTGAATGTCAAGCTCACAGGGAGCTGTTCCCTCTGGGCATCAGCCAGTCATGGTCCTGATTGCTTCCCTCCCTGCTGTTTACCTGGTTGCTTTGATCCCAGGATTGCAAAGCCTTTAACACATTCAGCCTCATTAGTGGCTTCTGAAGTGGTGGCTTTGATGGCTTCAGCCAGGGTGAGAAAAACAAGGCCACAGAGGAGACCCTAGGTCACCTGAATAAGTCCAGCCGCCTCACCTGCTCAATGGGTCCCTGCTGGGCTCAAAATGGCTAGGAGGGTGAGCTTTCTTTGCTTAGTGACTAAAAATAGTCCCCACCTTCACTCTGCCTATGCCCATCCAGCTAGGGTCCTGGGAGGCACTAGGTTTATCCCAGCTCCTGATTTGGGCACATAGGGGTTGCTCACAGTGTAAGCACACTGGCTTAGCTTGTTAGGGTAGGGAGAGGGCTTCGCCTGGATATGCTTGTTTCAGAGAGTAAGAAAGCCAGGAACCCATGGTACATACATGTGTGTATACCCACATTCAGCCCACGGTGAGCCAGCTACCCTTCTAGTGGTTGGGAATATGTCAGCAAACCCAAGGCCAAGATCTCTGCCCTCTTAAAGATTATATTCTAAAAGAATAGACAGGAAAGAAACAATTATATAGTCTTAAAAGGTCAGTGATGCTCAAAAATATATTGATACATAACAGAGTAAGGGATTGAAATAGCTTGAGTTTACAATTTTTAACAGAAGTCAGGGTGGACCTCGTTGAAAGTGTGACATTTGACTGCACAGATTAAAGGTGGTGGGAAGCAAGCCATGCGGATGTCTGGGGCAAGAGCGTTCGTGCAGAGGGAACTTGTCTGACAACGTACGCATGCTCCCCGCAGGCATGTCTGGGGAGGGTGCGTGTCCAGCTGGCCTTTGCAGGTGCATGTGCTCCCTGCTGTCCATAGGCAACCCGCATGGGTGCGAGAAGCAGGAGGGACTGAGACAGGAGTCCCAGGAACACTACCGCTTCTAGAGTGTTTTACTGCAGGCCAACACAATGCTAATATCTTCCTGATCATTACCTCTCATCTTCACAACTCCACGAGAGAGCGAGGATTATCTCCATGTTAGAGACCAGGAAACTAATGCCAGAGAGATCAGAGAAGTTTGACTCCAAAGCCATTGCTGTTAAACCCTGCACCATCCTGCCCCTACACTCACTTCCCATGGACGAGCATGACAGTATGGTTTCTATACCTGTATGTGACACAGATGAGTTTGTATTCCCGTGCCATTTGCCATTTTATGTACGACTATGGCAGAGTGTAGCAGTGTGACAAGATGCACATTTTCTTGACGTGCATGTGACAACAGCCATGACTTGTGGTGAGTACGTCAGGGGCCCATGGTGACAACAGGTGTGCCTTGGTGACAAACCAGGGGGCCATGGTGACAAACAGGTGGGTATGTTTGGGGTGGTGTAGTGGGTGTGAGAAAAACACTGATTCAGGGGCTGGCACTGTTTGTCGTGGACAATTCCTGCAACCATCTAAGATGCCGAGGCAGGCAGGAATCAAGAAGTGGAAATCAGCAAGCCAGAGAGGGGAAGGGTGGGGAGGGAAAGCCTCCATCCCCCACCCGCCACCCCCAACCCCACAGTGCTTTCCAAGCCACAGTCCACCCACCCATTATGTCCACAGCAGGTGGGAGAACTCCAGAGAGGGAAAGAAGCATTGCTGTAAACATCAGGGAACGGAAGATGCAAGCCCCCTAGCCCACCCCAGGCAATGTTGGCCCTCTAGACCCACTATGCACCCTACTCCCTGCTCTGTGCCCTGAGGAGGGTGACCTCTAGGGACTTTACATCAATGACTCCCTTGTTCCCTGCCTTCCTGTTGGGTTTGGCCAATGAGAGACCCTAGCAGGAAACTGGAGGAAAATGGGGTATTTATTCTCCTGCTCCATCCCCCACCAGGTTGTCATGGTTGGCTCTCTCTCAATCAAAGGCTGCTGTTCCTGGCAGGGACCCTCTCTACACAGCTGTCCACCCATCCCTTCGCCCTTCCCTCTCCTCCCCTTCCTCCCTTTAGGCCCAGGAGCTGTAAAGGCTTCCCACTCCTACTATCCCCTGAGAGCTGCACCATCCCTTGTTAGTTTCTTAAGCCCCCGTCTTTGGAAATAGTCCCTTTTAAATGTTCTCCTAGTGTGAGTGAGCCCGGTCTCCTGCTGTGACCTGACTGACAAACAGGTCCATACAGTCACCAGCACAGTCATGCTGCCATGTTATCACAAACATGGACGACCTCCCTCCCAGTCATCCGGTGTCACACGTACATTCCCCTCGCCTAACTTCCTCATCACAGCCTCAATCAGGGAAGACTTCCTGGAAAGGGTCAGCTTTGAACCAGGTAAACAGAGAAATCAGTCTACAAATCAGTCAATGGTCCCGAGACTGCCAAATGAAACTAAACAGAAGCTGCCAACTTAAAGAGCAGGGACGGACACATAGAAGAAAGGAGGCAAGGACACTGGCAAAGTAAACCTTAAAACCACATGTGTTTGTCTTACAGTATTGAAATTTATTCTTCCTGAATGTATGAATCAGGGGACTGACTCAATACACATTCATTTTGCAGAATTCTACAAGTTCTGGATTGTATGTGAGTAAATATGGTTCCCTTCCTTCTATTATCAAGCTATTTGAATAAGCGTGGTTCCTTTTCTCATTTAAAACTTTGCTGAGAATTTTTATGTGGCCACTACCTCTTTTTGAAAAAGAGGTGTGTCGCCCCAGGGGCCAGAGCTGATCACCTTTCTGCGGGCCACAGGCACCCTCCCACATGGACAGGGCAAGGACAGTGAATGAGGAAGACAGGGATTCCTCAAACCGGTTTCCCTCAAACAGGTCCCCAAACTATTGTTAAGCTGAGAAGCAATGGCAGCTACCAAGCTGCACTGTGACTTAAGAATGATGACATTTTTAAAAGAAATCCTTTCCACTTTCATGTTGCAAATGCTCACTGCACTCTTAAATAATCTGATTGTGTCTCACGGACCTGTAGAAACACTTCCAACTGTACAGCGTAAGCCAAAGTCAAATGTGGCATACATAAAGAAATTCACAGTACAGGCAACTCCCCCAGAATCCAACCCCTTGCCTCTGTAAACAAAGGGCTTGTATGAAGTGAGGAGGGCTCAGCTGTGTAGGGTCGACTGAAGAGGTCTTCCTGGAGGAGGTGCTCAGGGAAGGAACAGAATCCAGGAGTTCAGATCCATAGAGTGGAGGCTCTGAGTTACTGGGAGGAGCTGGAGAGAACAATTTTAAGAGCTTCAATTACCTCCTTCCCACAGCCACCCAGCCCCACCCAAACACTTGGACATCTACCTCCTTAAGAGGGGCCATTACAGAGAGAAGGTGCTGGGGCAATTATGGACCTGGGCTCCACTGACTCCCACCCTGGAAGAGGTGGGGGGCTCCTGGGGTAACCAGAGGTTCTCTTGGGCCTTTGTCCTTGGCTGGGATCCCCACTGGTCTGAGCAGCTGGAATGGAATGTTCCTGGGATGAAAAGGCTGCTCCTTCCTCCACCTCTCCCCTTATGGAATTCCCTAGGCCCTGATGGGGGTAGAGGGGGACCGTTCCGGGGATTCCTGATATGGCGATGCTCTGGAGAAGCGAAGGCCCACACTGCCTGGGGGCTATGTCCGGGCAGCCGGCCCTAAGCTGGCCAGATCCGTTCCATTACACACTTACAGACTTCCACTATGTGCTGGGCACTGAGTGTGACCCCTCATTTAATACTCAGAGGCTATCTCCTCTCCAGATGCCCAAAACACATGCATGTGTGCACGCGCGCACACACAGAAAAGAAACTGGTTTAAGGGAGAAGGTAAGTTATTTGCCCAAGGTCTCCCAGCTGAGAAGTTCCAGGCCAGGACAGAATCCCAGGTCTGTCTTGTTGCCAGCCTGGGGCACTTCATGCCCCACCATGGAGCCTATCATTCTCCTCCTCTGCCACCCCAGGCTCTTTGCTGTCTTTGGCACCAAACATCCCAGCCCAGGTGTGCAGGGAGGAGGCAGCCCTCTAAGGCAGCTGCAGGCCCTCAACATCACTGGCCTGCCCTTGCCTGAAACCAGGCGTGCTGACTCAGCCTGACTCACCAACCCCCTTCCCCCAGTCAGCCAGGCTGGGGAGCCAGCCTCTGGGGGTGTGCCTAGACCTTGGGGAGTAGCACCTTCTGCTACCCCTCCAACATCTTATCACATCACTCTCAAAACCAAGGACCAGGGATCACTGGACCCAGATATAAAGGTGAAAGCCCAGAAATCCCCCACATTCACCTTGTAAATGAAAAGCCACATAGTGAAATGTTTAAGGCATCTCTCACTTATAGGTTCCATGTCCCTGGACAAGTCACCTGTTCTCCCTGATCCTGTTTCCTCATCTGTGGAAATGAGAATAACCCCTACGAATAGCTGAGAGGATTGAAACAGATAATGGGTGTAAAGTGCTTAGCACAGTGCCTGGCACGGAATTCATTAATATATCATTCCAGAGCCAAGGATTCCCTTCCCCCATGACTGCTGGCCAGGGTGCAGCTGGTCAGGACTAATGGGGGAAGAAATAAATAGGCTGGGGATCTTCCAGCTCCCCCAAACAAGTCCTTCCCTGCTGGCTGTAAAGAGCCTATCCTTCAGCTCTGAGGAGCCTGGGCCCCAGGGCTTTTCTCCAGAGCCAGCTGTCAGGGAAAAGGAGCCGCCTGAAGACTGCCCATTTGCAGGCTTGGAGCACCTGAGCCAGGACCTGTTGCTTCAGCCTAATCTCTAGGAAGCCACCTTGGTCCCCAGGTGGCAGGGGGAGGGGGTGTTCTGGTCATGTATCAGTGTAACAAGTCGTTGAGAAGCCAGAAACTCGGGCTTTTACATTTACTCAAATGGTGATCACCAACAGGGGCAGCCTCTTTCCAGGAAAGTGTCCTGACGGACCTTCTCGCAGGGCCTGGGGACCAGCCCAACCAAAAGACTTCCTTTGGGCCCCTTCTCTTAAGTGACCTCCCCTAACCGATCTTCTGCCAAACACTTAAAACTCAAGGCCTAGGATGCCCTACCGCTGCCAGGAAGAGGCTGGATCTGGGGGCGGGGATACTGGGAGCCCAGTTGCTCCAGGCAACGCCCAGTGCCCCAGGAAGCAGCCCCACACTGCCCTCTGGTGGTGCCACCCAGAGACTTGAGAGCTACCCTCTCTAGCCATCCAAGAGAGGGAAGGGGCTTATCCAAGGAAGGGACAGGTCCCAGACTAGAACCCCGAACTGGTTCCCCAGCCCCAGGCACTATTCTGAAGAAAGGCTCCAGTTCCCCTATTTCCCTTTGCTGAGATCCCAGATTCACTGGTGGTCATCATTGGCCTCAGTGCACAGGTCCAGTCCCCAGGATGGGGGCCATCAAGAAAGTGTTCAGGAAGTCGTGGGGGGGGGGGGTCAGTTTCCTGATCAGGGACGACAGTTATTTGTGAAGGCCTGAAAACAGCCCTCCAACACGAACAACCCAGCCCCCCAGAAGGTCCACTGGGATGGTGACCATCAGGAAAGGCTGCCTACAGGGCCAGGAGACACAAAGCCTTAAAGGGAGACCCTTTAATTCAGTGCTGCTTCTTGAGCCCCCAAGACTAGGTAGATATCAATGTTTGTTGACTGAGGAGAAAATGGAGCTTTGTAGAGGGGGCCCTGGGCTGAGGGGTAGTGGGCAGAGCACTGAACTGAGCGCTGGGATTCAAGCCACTAAGTGCTGGGTGCCCTGGCCAAGGCCCTTGGTGAGAGCAGTGGGACATCTGGAAGCAAAGGGAGGACACAGAGCTGCCTGCAGCACTAGGACCAATTTTCGTTTCCTACACACATACACTTTCTCCACCAAGAGTCATCTCTTAATTCCTCAACCCCACCCCTACCTCCAAAATAGGACAAAGCTGATTACCAATAAATCCCAGAGAAAGGCGAAATTGTGATGGCACAGAGCACTTTACACCATTAGCTAAAAGCTTCTCTGGACCAAGTGTCCTTCTTTCGTGCAACCCAGAAAACAAACAGTTCTGGCTGCAGCCCAACACTGCGCCAAAACTCCTCACTGTGCCCCTCCCCCCACCGAAAGTCCTCGACCTTTCTGGGCCCCTAGAACCCAAATGACCCAAGTAGCTTCAGAAGGTTCTCCTCTCCAGGGAGGCCAGAGGATGCCAGGGCTACGCACTGTTTTCCTGGTGCCCAAGCGCTCCTCAGTCTCTGTGACCTCCTCCTGCACTTCCCTTCCCCAGCTAAGAATGGGTTCAGGAAGGTCTGGCTGTTCACTGAGAAACCAGCTAAAAAGTTTGGTACCTGGGAAGAGGAAGAGTTGATGGGGGAGGGTCAGGGGAGGGCCCCTGGGGCTCGGCCTTTCAGAGCAGCACAACCAACCCTCGGGACTCTAGGGCTAAACCAGATTCCCTTGACTCTGCCATCCTCATCCTACCCCTCCTCCTGGTTTCCAAGCCTTGACCGGAGGAGGGACAGCTATGTTCAGAGAGAAAATGAGGAAAGCAGCCCGAAGAGGGAAAGGAGTTGTTTTAGGTTACACAGCAGACAAATTGGACGTCAGTTCTCTCTAGCCCCTGCCCCTGGGCAGGGAAGACACTAAGAGAAGGCCTGGGATCTAGTTCTGTCCCTTTGCTAGTATGTGACCTTGCCACTCCGCAAAATGAGGACTTTAAATTAGCTCCTGGCTCCACCAGCAAAAATACTGCCTCTTTTTAAGTGTGATTTAATAGAATAAAACATTCTTCCGTAACCCATGGGAGAAGAAGACAGATCTCTGCCCTGTGTTAACCTCACTACAGCCCTTCCAGGAGGTGAAGATACCCATTTCACAGACTGAAAAGTAAGGCTGCCGTCAACTCAGCTGGTGAGCAGCAAGCAAAGCACCAGTGACTCTGTTCACAGCTGAGTGGGGGAAGGGGACGAGGAGCCTGAAGGGCATGTCCACAGGAAGAGAAGCAGATCTCATTTCAGGTCTGGCCCCTTAAGGCCCCCTTTCCAGAAGCCAATGGCATACCTGCCCCCTTGGGGGCCTGTTAAAAGATGTCACCTGGCTCCATCCCTGGTAGAGCCATCTTAGAGACACGTTGGGTGGGGGGGGGCCCTAGGAGAGCAGGTGAGGCTTTAGGCAGATGCCAAATACTGGTTATCTAAGTAAGACTGTACTCTGAGCAAAGCTACATAAGAAAAAAAAAATCTGGAAGATCTTAAGTATAAGTATTATGGGGGGTGTGTGTGTGGGGGGGGGGAATCCTCAATTTCTCCGGGATTCCATCTCCTCAAATGGGAAACAGGGTCTTAGAAGAGAACTCAGTGGTGCATTGCTGTACCGGCCCCCACCCCATCTTGGGATTTCACTATTCCGTCAGCCCAAAGGTACGGAGGTAGGAGTTGCCAGAAAACCGCAGCCTCAAGGGCAAGACTCTTCTTACAGCCCCAAGAGGCTCAGGAGAGTCAACGCAGGTGCCGGGAGGAGGGGAGGGTGCTGCGTCAGTGCAGCAAGCTCCAATTAGTAAAAGTTTGCTGGCAAAGCCTCCTGAGGTCTGCGCACCCTCAATTTGTCCAGCTCTATAATGGGGACTTGGTGTTACCGCCTCACTTCCCAAGAGGTCTGGGAAAGGCAGCAACAGAAAAGAGACAGCTTTATTAGGGACCCAGCAGACTGCAGAAGCCCCAAGGAAAGGAGGTCCTGGTCCCTGCACCATCCCTCTCCGCCCCTTGGATGCACCAGCCACTAAGACCGCACCTCAGCCTACTTTACTGGTCCCCTGGCCCCCCGACTGTCTCTTCTTGTGGTCAGTCCATCCATCCGCGTCCGTGACGCCGTTCATCCAGCCGACGTCCGCAATCCTTCGTGGGCACCTCGGCGACAGCCTGTTGAGGGGAGCCAGGGGTCGCGGCGCTGCGGTCAGCGCTGTGGGGAGGCGGGGCCGCGGGGCGGGCTTCGGCGGAAGGGCGAGTCCGGCTCGGGGCCGTGGCCCCGCCGCAGGCGTCCGGTGCCCCAGGGTACGCAGCTACCCAGACCCAGCGCGGAGGCGAGCAGCGCGGGTGGGCGGCCGCGGCGGCCGCGACGCGAGCCCTTCTTGAGGCGCGACCCGTGCGCCGCCAGGTAGAGCTCGGCCTGAGCCACGCCACCGCTCAGGCGGCCCAGGCTCTCGGCGCGGTGCGCCAGACGCAGCTCGGCCGCCAAGAAGACGCGGTGCAGCTGCAGCACGCGGCTCTCCAGCTCCGACACTAGGCGCCGGCGGCCTTCCACCTCCAGCAGTCGCCGCCGCGCCTCGGCCAGCTCCAGTGCGCGGCCCCCTGCCCCCGCCGCGCCCTGGCCGCCGCCCGCGCCCACTGCCGGTCCGGTGCCCCCCGCACCTCCGTCAGCGCTCTGGCGCCAGCGCTGCAGCTCCAGCCCCTCGGCCGAACCCACCGACGCCGCGGTCGCCCCTGGCAGAGGCGAGGCCTGAGTCGGGGTAGGGGTCGGGGTCAAGGGCGGCGTTGGGGGCGGGGGCTGAGGGGATGGCAGGGGCTCCCGGGGCGGCAGCGGCGGAGACCCGGGTTCCACCGTCCCTTCCTGGGTCCCCGGGCCGCAGGCGCTGATGCGGCAGCCCGGCATCCCCCGCCCCCGCCCCGCGGCGGTCTGCAAAGCGCTGTCGGCAGGTTCGGCCCGCTGCACCCGCGAGGTGAAGGACGGACGCAAACGACGCAACAACTGTGGCCGCAGCCCCCGCGCCAGCGCTTAGCCGGCGGCCGGTGCCTCTTATAGAACACGGGGCGGAGCGATAGACAGCACAGCCAATCAAAGGCTGTCATGCCCTGACACCGCCTTCTCTGCCCCGCCTGTGCAGGACATTGCCCACACCCTTCAGGTCCTTCGTCCTGCTGTCTTGCTAGAACAACCGGTCTCCATTCACCTCCCCCCAAATTTTGGGTGGAAAGAGGACCGTATCTTCGCTGGTTTGGCCCCTGATCATAAACTCTGGTAGTTGGTGCTTAGAAATCATGGATTCCAGTCTCCACTTAGAGGGGGTTTTGCCTGAAGCCACACTCTGTGAGAGTCCTTGCATAGTGCTCCTTCCCATACTGCACCCCTTGGTCCAATCGGTTCTGCCTGGTCTCCTGGACCACAAGGCTCACCAGGAACCCCTTCTCCAATCTCTCTGGGTGCGGGGTAACTCAGGACACGGCGCCTCCACGACCTCAGAGAACAGATGGCTGCCTGGCCAGCAGCCATAAGGAATGAGGAAAACAGTCTGTATATGGATGTCTCAGCCTTCTCAAGGCCCCTCTGTCTCAAGGCTCCCGTGTTTATCATGAAAGTGTAGAATTTGCACACGCTCCTCCCTCCCTAACCCTATAAGAAGCATCAAGGCTGGGTGCAGGGCACAGGCTTTCTCACACCGATCCACTGCCATTGGTGGACTCCCCTGTAAAATGAATAATAAACGGCATGTCCACAGCGTGTCCACATCTGCTGGTCCTCCGGGTGGTTTTTCCGGAATATCATGAACACAAGTGCAGCTCCTCAGTTTGGAGCTCCAGTGTGACACTGGAGCAGCGAGAGCTTAACACAGAGGGGCGACTGGCGTCCTGGGTCCTGGTGGCAATCTGATCCTGTTGGTTCCCCACCAGGCAGGCCCGTGGCATGCAGGACTAGAGCGCTGCCACTGAGTCTGGCCCAGCTTCATCAAATCTTGATGGACCCCCCAGAGGAGCCCTGAACCACGTGGTCTGCAAAAGTCTTTCCACACCCTTGCTCCTCCCAGTGGATGTCCCCACACCTTTACACAGAGGGGAAACACACCCAGAAGGTAGCAGTGGTGCCTTCCCCAAGGTCAATGGCAGATCTGTTGCTGAATTTGAACCACTGAATGGAACCAGCTCAGCCATTCATGCCCTCTGGAGGCTCAGATACCTGGGTCTGCTGTCATTGGGGAGGACCTTAACTGGGACCTTGTCAACCTGGCAAAATGATGGAATGGAGCCACGTCCATTTTCCCCGCAACAGAAATGACCCTGTCATACCCTCTCCAAACACTGGCTCAGACCACAGGGTCCTGCCTCAGTTTCTATCCCTTTGAAAGTGCCATCAGAGGTGGAAGGTCTCTGATCGGCAGAGCAGAGGCTGGAGGGTCAGAAACTAGTTCATACAACTGGGAACTGTAGCCAGCCCTGGGCTCCAGGGGACTTGCTAAAAGCGTGGCCAGTGTGATTACTGCCTCAGCCTGACGACAGGCAAATGCGGGAACTGCGCTGGCTTGATGTGGAGGAGGACAAGGCTGAAGCCTCCCCCTCCATGGTTGCGAAGTGCTTTCAGGTGTCTTAGATTGAGTGATTGGGACTCGTGGGCGAGCCAGCTGGGCTCCTGGGAGGCAGCTCAGAAGAGGAGGGAGAGGTCCAAGAAGGGGCCAGGCTCAGTGAAAAGGGAGGGAGGAAGACTTAGAAGGAGGGAGTGAAGGGGAGAGTGTTCAACAACAGAAGTGGTGGAGGTGCAGCGGAGGGGGAGCTGGGCGCTCAGTGAGTGCAAGACAAGGGGCTCACTGACTGTAAAGGGCTAAGGGAGGGGGGAGGAGATTAGTGGGTGCATTGGTTATGGAGGAGGCTCACACAGAGAAGAGGAGGAAAATTTAGTGGCAAAGATAGGGTCTCAGGGAGTCAGAGGGGCTCAAATGGGGATGAGGGGGGCTCAGGAATTACCAGGTTGCCCCCAGCAAGAAGGAATGCCTCCCTTTGAATGGTCTCCTTTGAGCCATCAAATTCTGTGACTATCTCTGGGCAGATGACCCCCCATCATCATCATCATCATTGTGGGGAGACTGACAGGGGTTTTGCCTGAAATAGGCAGACCACTGCTGCCAACTTCTGAGGATAAATAAGGGGGAAAAAGCTAGGGCTTACCCCTACCATCAGCCAGCACCAGAGAACCAGCCAGATCTGCGTTCACATCCCACATAGAGATGACCTTGTGACCTTGGGAAAGTCATTTCTCTAAGTAGGAGGAGATACTCAGCCTATTTTTATTGAACGAATGAATGTTCTCTATCTCCTCACAGCATACATAAGAAAGGAGCATCAGCAGTCTTTTCTTCCTGATAAGAAACCAAAGCACAGAGAGGTCACACAGCAGCTAAGGGGCCAAGCAAGAATTCAAACACAGATCTGACCCAACCCAAAGTCAGAGCTCACCTCCCTATCATTCTCTGATATGTTCCCCTCTTCCTGTCCTCTGTGGTATTTTTCCACGTTATAGATATATATGTATTTGTTTATTGTTTAGTTATTTAATAGTCTCTCACCCTAAACTGGTTTTCCTTATCATTAGACATCCCTGAAGTAGAATGTCTGGCCCCTTAAAGCTCCTAATAAACACTTGAATTAGAAAATAACGCAAGGGTTGATAGAGCTTGCTGAGAACAGAGAAGTCTCCTTCTTTATTCATTCATTTCTTATTTTACTCACTTGACAAATTTGATCATTACCTTCTCTTTTGGGCTGGCTGCTGAAGATACAGCCCAATGATCAGATGGGGCCCTGCCCTTAGGGAGCACACAGTTTACGAGGGACACAGGCATGCAATGGCCATTCGGTGAGGTATCTACTGGGATAGGGAAAAACAGAGGCTCTGGGAACACAAAGCAGATAGTGAGACCAGATGGGTGGGGAGGGGATCAGGGAGAGTTCCCTGCAGATGACATTTAAACTGAGACGTGAAGGATGAATCAAAGCAAGTGATGCAAACATGATGCGGGGATGGAAAAGGAGAAGGATTCAGGATGGGAACACTGTGTGCACAGGACCAGTGGTGAGAGCTTTGGCATCTGCCAGCTTCCCTTCTGGCTCCCTTAACGGCCCTGGGCTCTGCACTCCCAGAAGTGGACAGAGGCCACAGCCAGCCATCTCTTAGTGCGCAGCCAGCCTGGCAAACACAATACTTGGAATTAGGAAGTACATATTTAGACTATAATAACCATTGGGGTTTTTTTTTTTATTGTTATAGGTTATACATTCCTCTTACTGTAGCAAAGATGGGATATAGAGAAAATATTAAAATTAAAAAATAGACCCCTGGCTGGTGTGGCTCAGTGGATTGAATGCCAGCCTGTGAACCAAAAGGTGCTGGTTCAATTCCCCGGTCAGGGCACATGCCTGAGTTGCTGGCCAGATCTGCAGTTGGGAGCCTGCAAGAGATACCGATTGATGTATCTCTCACACATCGAAGTTTCTCTGCCTCTCTCTAAAAAAAAAAAAAAAAAAAAAAAAAGGGAAGAAAGGCATCTGGAATTAGACTTGAATTTGACTTGAAGCTCAGTCCTTTCTTAGCTGTGCAGCCCTAAGAAAGGCATGTTTTTTCTCTGATCTTCAGGGACTGAGGAATGGAACTGTTAATACCTACGGCATAGACAAGGGCATGGATAGATGCAAGGATTTGTCCAAGGTTTCAGAAGCTGGTACTATCTGTCCTCTGTCTGAGCCAGAGACACTGAAAGGGAAGAGGCAGCCCGAGGGGGACCTAATTCCAGAGTCCTGTGCACTATATGCCCACCCTTCTCAGGACAGCAGCCAGCAGAGACAGAGCCTACGGAGGGAGAGTGTGGCAATGGCCCAAACCGGGATCCCCTCCATCCGCTGAAAGTGGGGTGGGGCAGGAGGTCAAGGCCTGAAAAGTCCATCCCAGCCTAGAAGATTCAAGGCCTCTGCTAAGAGATCCAACCCCTCCCTTTCAGTTTCTTCCCTGCAACCTGATCTGGCACCCTCTAGGATGTGATATCAGTTTAATAATTTAGCAGATGCAGACAAAGATAGCAGCTCTGAAAATAACCCAGCCAGGCCCAGCCTCCATCTCCTCTTTCCCCAGCAGGCTCCCTACTTTCCCCGCCAGGCTTCTGGCTGCCCCTACAGCTGGCAGTGCCCCTGCCCACCGTGGGCACCTCACTTGACACATCCTCCTTTTTCTTCTTCTAGTCCTTCTCCTTCTCTGCCCTCCTTGCCTCTTCTTTCTCTCAATTCTCATATTAAGAGCTTTTATATTAATTAGAGCTTAAAAGAATTTTATGCTGGAAGTCAGGACCTTGGGTTTAATTCATTATGTGCACTGAGCAAGCACCTTCCAAGTGTCTCTTTCCACTTTTGTAGAAGGAGGCCTCTGGATTCCGCAGTGTGGCAGGAACAAAATGTTTGGGTGGAGGCAATTACTTGGACAGGGAACTGGATGTCATTCCCAGGCAGGCACAGCTGCAATGCCAGCGCCGTCTCAGCCAGTAGTATTACAATCCATCCTCCTGCTCCATCCCGAAGCTCGCAGGTTTTCTTTGTTTTAACTTCTCTTACGATAAAAATTTTGCTCTGGTTATTATTCTCAGAATAAAAGGCTGTGCGTGACTTGCATTCACAATGGATGTAGCAAGTTGCATGTGCTTTTGGTGCTTCAATCATGTTTCTGACAAGCAGAAATTTTACTTCCCTCTGGGAAGCTGGGAAGAGCAGTACCTCTTCCCCCTTGATGGGTCTTTGCCCAAATCACCCCACCTTTATGGGTCTCAGTTTTCACATCTCTAAAGTGGCTAGGTGTTGAAAGGTAAGAAAGACTCTATGATCTCTAGATTGTAAACTCCAAAAGGGTGAGATCGCTTCTGTTTTCATGCATTTATTCAACAACAGAATTAAGCACTTACTACGAACCAGACACCGTGCAAGTTGCTAGAGGCATAACAAAAAATAACAGCACAGT